ATGAGATGAGAAGAGCTGAGGTGGGATAAGGTGAGAAGAGCTCAGATGAGATGAAGCGTGGGGTGTGAAGAGTGCAGTGTGAAGTGTGGGGCGTGAAGAGTGCAGTGTGAAGTGTGAAGTGTGAAGTTTGGAGCGTGAAGGAAGAAGTGAGAAGTGTGAAGTGTGGACTGTGAAGTGTGAAGTGTGGACTGTGAAGTGGGAAGTTTGGAGTGCGAAGAGTGCAGTTTGAAGTGAAGTGTTGACTGCGAAGGGTGCAGTGTGAAGAGTGCAGTGTGAAGTGTGTAGTGTGGAGTGTGAAGACTGTCAAGTGTGAAGTGTGAAGTGGAGCTTGAAATGTGACATGTGAAACAAGACACCAGTTTCGCAGAGTGCACGCACGCACGGGCTTGGCTGGCGCACGGCGCATGCAAGTTCTATAGATGAGAAAGGTCTTGTATATATATATATATCTTTAGGGCAACTTCCGCCCTGCCTCGTGCGGGTACTACTGGTAGCTTAATAGCTTATTATAATAGCTTAATAGCTTAATCGCTTATTCTAATAGCTTAATAGCTTAATCGCCTATTCTAATATATAGCTTAATAGCTTAATCGCTTATTCTAATAGCTTAATAGCTTAATCGCTTATTCTAATAGCGTAATAGCTTAATAGCTTATTCTAATGGCTTAATAGCTTAATCGCTTATTCTAATAGCTTAATAGCTTAATCGCTTATTCTAATAGCTTGATAGCTTAATCGCTTTTTCTAATAGCTTAATAGCTTAATAGCTTTTTCTAATAGCTTAATAGCTTAATCGCTTATTCTAATAGCTTAATAGCTTATTCTAATAGCTTAATAGCTTGAACAGAGTTGCGGGACCATCCTGCGGGCGCAATGTAACATTACATAACATTACATAACATTACATAACATTACATTACATTACATTACATTACATTACATTACATACATACATACATATTTTGGCCCATACGAGTCTAAAGTCAAATACCAAGAAAGGACACCACAGGACCTGTCCTCTCCAAAGTAGCAACGCAACTCTTCAAGCACCTAAGAATATGCGGCCACGGCTCGAAGCTAAAAGTATGTGGAGGAGCTGGCTGAAAGTGGGAGAAGACTGGAGAAGAGACAAGCACCTGTGAAAACTCTATGGGATCATCGAGGTATGAATGCTGGCAATGCAAAATTTGTTCATGCTACTTCTTTCATCTTTCGGTTCAAAAAATCCCGATCCAAGAAGCAATTATGCAACTCAAAACTGGAAAGAAAAGTCCCGAATCGAGCTCTGGATGGAGGGACCATGTGACGACGATATTCCCGCTGGCTCCACGACGGTTCCACGGTTCCACAACGTCGAGTGACTGCAGTCGCTGCCCGTCGGACGGCTGGATCCGCGCTGGTCTTTGATAGTCTTTGGCTCAAATGCTGCCTCAAATTGTTACACAAATCCACATGGTCATGGACATTCATTGGACATTCCAGGTCTGTAAGACTGAATGAAGCAACATGAAGCAACATGGCAACAAGAAGCAACATGAAGCAACATGAAGCAACATGAAGCAACATGAAGCAACATGAAGCAACATGAAGCAACATGGCAACAAGAAGCAACACGTTCAAACTCAAGAACGCCAGCCAGAAGACGCAGTAGGTCCAAGTTGCAGCTGAACATGAATGTCGTCTTTATCTGATTCCACAAACCTGAGCCACAGAGGGTCTGAGAGTCCAGAAAGGCATGTCCAAAACTACCTTGTGAACTTACACAGTTCCACAATAGTCCACAATGTTGCACATTCACTAGTAAGCGGCTTGTAGAAGCGCACAAAGCGGACCTTGGCTTCGTGATGGAGTCAGGCATGAGGCTCTCGACCTATCAAAAGAATGACAGGGCCCGGCACAGCCCCGCCGGCCCAGCCAGCCAAGCCAGCCCAGCCGCTCAGCCGGCGCTGGTTTGGAGATGTGCAGATCACAAGTTGGGAAAATGTTAAGCAGATCAGCAGCACCTCCTGCATTTTTTCTGGTGCGGGTCTCTTGCAGTGACTTCTAGACAAATTGGACAAGAGATCGCTTCATATCGCTTCCAGCTCACTCAACAAAGCAAGCCACAGGATGATCGGATCATCCCGGCAGAAGTTGGCAGAGGATCATTCTGCCCGGGACAATCGGCACTGCATCAAAGAGGAACAAACTGCATCGGTCGCATCTGCACACAGTTTGTTCCTCTTGTGCATTTTTGCTCTGCCAAGATCCAGAAATGCAAATGCGCAATTGAAACCAGCAGAGGCAAAAGTGTTGTGTTTGTCCAAGTGTGGGGGCATGCAGTGCCAACGTCTCAAAAATTATGTTGTTTGCAATCAATGAGCACATACCCAGAACATGGTCTGGATGTTCAATGATCATGAGGTTTGGATTGTGTCCAATAGGAGATTGGATTGGAGAAGGTTGGGGTCACAAGCGTGGACTCATGTGCCAAATCCAGACCTTGGCAAGTGTAGAGATTTCTACAGTGTCAAACGATGTCAAGAGGGGAACGGGGCTTTGCGACAGGCTGACGGACACCATTGTTAAAAATCCAGGGCTTGAAGTCGGGACATTCTGCATGAGAGGACTGTTGCGATAGCGTGCAACATGAGCTTCAAGCCCTGACCAGGTGACCTGACAAACCTTGGCACTCGGAAAGGACCAGTCTGAAAAGCCCTGAAAGGCTTTCCACAGAAAGTCCACTGCCTTGGAATCCACGATATTGAATATTGACGAAGGCATAGCCCAAATCGGCATGATGGTATATAAAAGTCCCAAGGCAAATAGACAAAGTCATATTGGCACTTTAGACCCAGCATAGTCCAGCAGCATAGAAAGGAACATGTCTCGAGTGTAGTTAATTGGGCAAATTCGGCAACATCACTGTGGTTTTTCCCTTTGTCATCCTCAGCCTTTTTTCCTTGTCACAAGTCTCCATGGTTCTCTGTGCTACACTTCTGGCACCACTGATGTCCCTTGTTGCAGCTTGTTCGCGAACTTCCTGGACTGACCGATTGCTCAGCACGCAAGGCACACCAAAATCACAAATCATTGTATCTTGGTGGATCTTTCATAGAAACCTGCCACTGGGAAGAGGTTCAAACACAGCAGATCCTTTGAAACGATCTCGACACTTCCAAACCATTGCACCAAGATTTGCGATCAACAACTTTACAAAGTGCTTTGGGTTTCTCTTGAAGATTGTTTGCTACCAGGGAATATGCAGCATTCTTAGTGTGAATTCAAAATGAGTTTCAACGCTTTAACTTTCAAGTTTCTTGCTATTCCGGCTCTGCACGTCGGCTCTGGGGCTGGGCAACTTTGGTTTCAGGAAAAATTGAGTGTTGCAGCACCAGAGCACAATGAGCAAATCTGTAAAAGCACAACCAAGGCAAGAACTACCTAAGAATTACCTAACAGAAAAGGACAAGTGCCAACCAAATCAAGCTCCCTGATGCTATAGTCCTTTAAAACCCCCACGTACCCCAAAGGAATAGATCCAATACTAGATAAATCAAGGTATTTCATATCAGGATGAAGGGATGATATACATCAGTTGAAACTCACCAAGATTTTGGGCGCCCTTCCTGCCCGTGTCCCACCTCAAGAGCAAACTCGATCTTTGCCTGGTGGACATTCTGATATCGTTTCATCATGTTTCATCGAGCCTTGTCCATCATCAACGACAAGGAATATGCCTTTTACCTCATCAGCACGCGAATCCGATAGAGCCAGCTTGCAAGCGGACCACTGCCCGATAGTGGTGGGACAGAACCAGTTCTTTTTGCTTGTGAGACCCCAAGGGAACATCAGTGGGAGGACAGGGCGTGGTTTGACGGGCGGCGTTTCTCAGTGCTAAGAACAAAATGGTCTGAACCTTGGCCTGTTGGGCCAAATTGCTGCGTAGGAACAGTATTGTACCAACAGGTGCAAGCTTCAAGAAAGGACAAGAATTAGAAAGAGTGACGGGGATGGGTCCAGGAGTCGTTGAATACGCAGTATAGCATGACACACTTGGCATGAAATTGAAATGGCATCTACTACGGGCAAGGCACTGTTCCACAATTATGTCAATTTGACACGGATTGCCTCTTGATGCCTCTTGTCAACCTGCCTCTTCTCTGGCACATTGCAACAATTGAGTCCTGCCTGGAAGTACATATCCTCTTGCAAATACAAGTCATGTTTTGTGTTAAATCGAAAACATCATGTAATATGACTTGATGTGACTCTTCTCAGAAATCCAGTGATCCCAAACATCCACCTCCTTGAGAAGTGCCACATCACTGGAACTCATTGAGTTGGAAAAAATGGAGAACTCCCATCCTGACCAAATGCGATCATGGTACTTGACAAATTCAGTCACAAGAGGCTTCAAGAGACTTGAAGAAACTTCAAGATATTCAAAGAGACTTCAAGCTTGCATGTAGGAGTGGCTAGTGGAAGCTATCCTTACATGGCTCACACAAAATATGAAGTATGTTTCTGAGGTAAAAGCCCAAGCAAACAGCAAGGGCAGGAATTTGGGCAAGGCTGGCCAATGCAGGACATGACCCTTGAAAAGAGTTCATATATGTCTTGCTGTTTGAAAAGATTGAGTAAAGGTTCAAAGGATGATGATTGCAGTGTTCTTTCCAATAGTTAACAACAATAATTCAAAATATTCAAATAATTCAACAATACATTGCATGACATGTTGAAATCCAAGGTCTCAACGAGTCTCAACCTTTCACTCCCACCTGGTCGCCGTGGTCCAAGCAGGCTGTACAAGCTCATGTTGGGCCCCCAACGGCGTTTGGGCCACACTTCGGACGGCAGATTGCATTTGTTCTGTTCACAAAATGCCAAACAGCTCAGATTTGCAGTCTTTCAGTCTGGGAGCACGAAGGCGTTGCAGGTGGTCAAAACGAAAACACAAAATGATGCCAAGAGCTCGAAAAAAAACGGTTCTGCTTGGCTATGCTAAAATAAATCATTCCCTATCGGTAGCACACGAAGGTCGGCACCAAGCGAAAGGCTTCGGCGATTTGTCCAACCTTTGGCAAATCAGCTGGAAGAGACAGTAAGTAAAGGACTCTGAGGACTCTAAGGACTCTAAGGACTTTCAGGACTCTGTCTCAACAGATTTGCAGAGTCTTCTTCTGGTTCTGGGGGTCATTTCTGAATGGGTAACTCAATCAAGTAGACAGGCCTTATTGACAAGGGTGGATTTGTTCTGTTTGCAGCGCCAGTCACAAACGAGATGACATGTGAGTGCTAGTGCTTCATTTGCGTGGGAGGTGCCACAGTTTCAAACAATCTAGAACACCCCTCTCCCTCTACTCGAGCCACAATGGGAGAAGGGCACACCGCAGCCATATTCCACATACTGTAATCACTTCGTTGTGCCTCAAAGTGAAGCTTCACCAAGATGGAGAAGGTGATGTTCGATGGCTGCACGCGCGATTGTAACATTTCCTCGACGCCGAAAGAAGAGACAAAGACATCGAAGAAGACAAGATTTCATTGAAGTGACATACAGTAGAATGTCTGCATCCCTCTTCCAAGCTCCACATAAAGTCCATTTGCAACATCTGGTTGATCATGATTGATCTGACTGTCTGAGTCTAAACCACAATTGCAATGTTGCCTGAGTACAAGTCCTCTATCAGTCGCAGTACATGCTTCATCATGAATCATAATAGCATACAGAACAAGGCAATAACAATGCATCTCAAAGAAGAAAAAATGCCCCTGCAAGGACAATATGTGCTTGAAATAGTTGGAGCGAGCTTTAGTTGCATCTCGGTATATAGATCGTTTCTTTCTTGCAAAAACGGCACTGTTTTATGACACAACATCCCTGCGAGGCAATAGAGTCTGTGTGTACATTAATATCCATTGGTTCACGTTGTATCAATGTTGTATCTATCTTCATTTTGTATCTATCGTCGTGGTCTAAGTGGCTTTCTACGGGCCCTGGCCCAGCCTCGAAGACGGCAAGTCCCTCGCTAACCTTTCGAGCCTTCGCACAGCCGTCGATGAGGCTGTTGTACATGATCTCGTCACATTTCAGGCCACGAGCCTTCAACTCTTTGGAAAGAGCCAAAGCTTTGTGAACTTCTCCGATGTGGCTGTAACCTTTGATCAGCGTGCTGAAGGTGATGAGGTCTGGATCGATACCCATCCCCATCATGTCTTGGAGAAAGTAGGCAGCTGTTTGCAGATCTCCACAACGAACACAAACATCCATCAGTGAGTTGAAGGTCACCAAATTGCACGGCACACCTTCCATCCTCATCTCATGGTAAAGGTTCATGGCTCCCTGCAAGTCCCTGACCTTGGCCAAGCCTTTGATCAATGTGGCATAGAGGACTGTGTTCTTGTGCATCCCTTGCATACGCATCTCCTGAAAGATTGCCATTGCCTTGTCAAGGGAGTTGCACTTCACACAAGCATCCAGGACACAACCGCAGGTCACTGGGTTGATGCCCAGGCAACGGCTGCGCATCTGGTTCCAGACCTTGATCACAGACTCCGTGTCACGTGCCCGACCATAAGCTTTCACCACCGTGCCAAAGGTCACAGCAGATGGAGCCACGCCATAATCGTTCATCTTGTTCAAAGTCTGCTGCAGCTTTTGCATGTCGCCAGTCTGACCCAGAACATTCAGCAAACTATTAAACACAATCTCATCCACATCTTCGCGTTGCTGCTCAATGAACTTATCCACAAGGCTGATACCGCGTCGAACCCAGCGCTTGTCATTGGATGCTTCTAAGCTCTTGGTCAAAATGGAAACAAAGTACTTGTCAGCCTTGCGCCCACACTTCAACAAGAGCTCCAGGACGTCCCACGCCTCCCCATAGGATCTGGTGCGCACCTTGGAGCAGAATTCGCAGGACCAAAGTAACCAAACTAACAAATGAATTGCTTAGAATTGTTCAGAATGATTCAGAACATCCTGCACTTGATGATTGGACTTTTCTTCTCAAACAGATGGCCGAAGGAATTCAAAGGAAATAATATGAAACAATGCTCCGAGGAACCGTTGAGTCCAGCATGGAATTGAAAACCTGATCGCTGGGAGCCGAAGCTCCTGGCTGGCACAATCCTTGCAAAAGCTCAACCTGGGCACATCCAAAGAACGACAAACCGACAAACGCATGAAGTCCACACAGTAGCATGGAAGATCATAGAAACAAGTAGCAGCATGAGGTGCTCTACATTCTCTACAATCTACAAATCCAAGTTCTCTTTTGTCCTTTAAAAAATGTTGGTAAACACGTTTTATATATATATATATATATATGCGGTATTACATCTTGTTGCACTTGAATCTCCCTTCTTCATACTGTCACCTGATGTGCAGCAGCTTGGCTAGTGCCACCTGATGCACTGCTGGGACTCCTTACCGCACGACCGTGAAGCTGCCCATGCAACAGAGCTCGCAGCAGTTGCTCTGCCGAGGTCATGGTCAGCTGCTCCCAGCCATTGGGT